TCTTTAATCTTAGTTTTCTTTAGTTTTTCAGTCATTTAAAACACGTGAAAGAAGAAAATGGGAGAATACATAAAAACAATTAAAAATATTTTAAATTCAAAATGATCTTGTACTAAAAAAAGCCAGCACTGTAATGTGTGAGCAGAGATACTTCTGGCTCATGGAGACTGCGCCCTGTTCACAGGCTACATGATAAAAGCTGATAACTGAAATAAAAAAAAGGAAGTAGACAAATTTACATTTTCATGTCTAGACTCAAAAAGACACTATATAAAAAAACTAAAGGCTCATTTAACATGAATCCTCTTCAGATGTGACCTTTGTCTTTACACAGAACAAATCGCTCATTTCTTCTTCACTTGAGCGTAGAGATCCTCGAGGCCGTCAGCTGTCCTCTGTGGACCGCGTCTGCTTTCTTGGACACTTTGACCTGTGCGTACACCATGTCCTGCTGCTGTCCACGTGTCCTGCAGGGAGGCGAGGACGGTTCAAGTCTCCGCTCGGAGAAGATGATCTCTCCATAATGGGATGTCGTCTTTCTTCTTCTGTCTTCCTGGTTGGACTCGGCCACAAGCCGGCTCTTCACCCGTTCGACTCTATGGAAAGGTCAAACAGGAAATGTGGTGGATGTGAACCATCAGCTGGATCGCTTTATTACTCATCACAAGTCCCACAACATTCAAAACACCAGCAAATGCATCACTGCACAGGGACGTGTTGGTGTTTTCCCACCTGAGTCTGTCGTGCAGTTGGACGTTGTGACTTCAACCAAGCTGGGAAGACACAAGAGGCCTGTAGATGAATCACAACTGAGTTTTAGGTCAAATTACACAAAGTGCCAGTAAAGTGTCAGGACTGATGAGGAGCAGAGTATTATTTGGGTATGTGCAGCTTTGCTTTTGATTTTGATACTCGGCCAAACAACAGACGATCAAACAGACGATCAAACAGACGAGAACGATGATCCCAACGATTCCTTCCAAGAACCGGTCCCCATGGTAGAGACTCTGCCTGATGGAGCTGCCATAACAAACAGAGTAAAGAAAAAAGTCAGAGGTAAAACAACAGAGAGAAGACGAAAAAAGGAAAGAGCAGATCAGATTTTACATGAGTGGATTCAGTAAAGTAACTGTACTGACTCACCTACCTTCAACAGACAGATGATATCAAGTGACGTCTGATTTCCGACATCATTGGTGGCCACACAGTTAATAACTCCCTTATCTGTGACATTGAAAGTGTAAAAGGCTCCTTCAGATACGCTCATGTCTCCACCTGTGCTCTCTTGAACCAGGTGAAGCGGCTGACAGGAGGGTTGGCTCTCTGTTGGAGCAGGTCAGTTTCACCCAGCTACCTGCTGACACCAAACCTGAGGGACTATGGACGCTGAGGTGTCCTGGGGGGCATTCTGGGGAGAAAGGAACAAAGTATGTTAGAGAGAAAGGGAGCATCAGGCCCTACATGAAATCCTTAGAGGAAAAATAACTGACATCTGATGAGTTTTCATGGTCTGACAGGATCCAACTACAAACTCTTGTCTTACATGAAACATTGAGAGTCCTTTTCCCCTCTGCTGTCTTCACATGTTGCCTTCATCCACAGGATACTGGCAGAGAACAGTTGATGTTGTATCCATCACGTTTGTCTGACAGAGTGATGGTCTCCTGGATTTTAGTTGTAAAGGTTTCCATCTGTGTTTTCCTCATTTTTGTTGTGAGGGTCTTGTTGGAGGTTCCAGGTGAGATTTAGGAGGGGAGTGTGGACAGGGAGTTAAAGCTGAGCAGGTATAGTCACAGACTCCGCCTCCTTTCAGCTTCACCTGAGATCTCAATCCTGGGGCTCGTAGGAGAATCTGTGGTGTGAAGTCAAACACATTTCCAGTGAAAAAGAGTCGACTGCTCTGTGAAGCTGCACTTTAAGCTGAATGCTAACGTCAGCGTGCTAACATGCAGCAATGACAACTGAGGTTTAGCAGGTGTAATGTAGGGTGTTAGCCTGCTAACATTTGCTAATTAGCAGTGAAACACCTGATGGTTGTGGCGCTTAGATTCAAAGTAAAGGCTTCAGTAAGTTCTTCCAGTTCATCCTGAGGGGGAACATGAACGTCTGAACCACATTTCAATCCATAGCTGTCGAGGACGTTTCATTCAAAAACTTTTAAACTTTAAATTTAAATGAACTTTCTTACCTTTAACTGTATATATTAAGAGGATACAAACAGCTGTTGCTCTGAATGGCGTGGTCTCAATTCTGAAGAGTAGTATTGTGTCTGTGTGACTTAGTGATTAAACTAGGAAACACGAGTGGTGCAGTTTCTCTGATTCAGGTTTCCAGTAATGTTCATTGGATATTTAGATTAACTGCTTGCTACTGGATGAAAATCACATTTTCTGATTGTTTGTCAAATCTGGGCACTATTTTAATCCACACTCCAGTGATTTTTTGTTCATAGTCTGACAGTCTTCTTTCAGGGTCTAGCACTGAAGTTACATGGGATTTGCAAACAAAATCCAGTCAGTGCTTCCATGTTCTTGTGGTGCGGTAATGAAGAGGTCTGATTTCAGACAGCAGCCCAAAGCACCTGTGACCCACGTTTCATGATTAACATAAAATGAGATTGACAAAATTTTGTCACAGAAACAAGATCTCATTCAGAAACATCAGAATATTTCCTTCAGTTAAAGCTTTTAAAGTCAAATAAAAGAGAGTAAACACACAGCTCACCTGACAGAAAGAAGACATCAGTAAACAGGTTGGATGTCACCATATCACAGACAGAGCTGCCGTGAAACTCCCACCTGGATTTTGCAAACACAATAAATACAGTGGATTTTACTAAAACATTCAAGTTCTTCACTGAATTTCTACTTCAAATGTGAATACACACATTTCACTGCCG